AGGGTTGGTAGGTTTGGTTTTTGTTGGTTTGGTTTTTTTTAATCAAAGCTGTAAGCTTACTAAAAACACAATTTATATTTTACATTGCCCCATCTCATCCTATAATAATTACCTTGATTAAAAAAAATATATAGGGGCCTTTTTGCTGACATAGCGTTACTCTGACTGAATACTCATTATTTTGGATTGTTCCACCTCTTCCTGTTAAACGGGGACTCACCTCAGGAGGTCCATGGAAAGAATAAGCATAAAGGATGGGCTGGATCATAATGAGAGACTGGGTCAGATCTTGCCTAGCAAAGTGGTGACGGTAGTAAGAAGATTCGTCCGGACTGTTATTGAAGACTTGCAGGAATGGGGAGCGTCGCAGATGGAACATGAACTGCACCACAAAGATGAGCGAGAAATGTTAGCAAGCTGCCAAACTTTCTGCAAGTCCAATCTTCCTGAACAGCAAATGCTTTGGAAAAAAAAAGTCTACCCTTTATTAACTCCTCAGAGTTGTTCCCTTATCAGTCATTCGCAGCACTGAACTACAGGACCACCCCACCAAATTCAAAAAGCATTCCTCCCCTCTTGAATCTGATAAATGGTACAAAATGTTTTATCACCACTCTCGCTTACCCTTGCACACTTTTCCCATGACTGTGGGAAGTGAAGTTCTTACCTGGGGATACAAAGAAAACGATTCTGACAATCTGAAGGAGTTGGGATCATCTTTGTTGTATTGTCCAAATTTCTGACACTGTTGGAAGCAAAATGGGTACTTCGGTTATCTCTCTCACTCCCTTTTTACTATTTTTTCCCCTTTTTTTTAGAATTAGCACTTGGTTGTTTGGAAGGGTGTTCATTTGGTTGTTTTTAAACGGAGCAACAGAGGCATGAACACAACAATAACAAGTAATATAAAATTTACAGGCTATTTTTCTTTAAGTCAGTGGTCACCCAATTTTTTTCCATTAAATCAGTGATACTACGTTATACCTAAGCTGCTTTGTATGCTGTGAAACACTTCCGCAGCAACTCTGCTTCCTTCCAGAGCAGCAGCATCCTGGCATTTCACCAACTGTTTCACTGAAAATAAGAAGCATCAACAGTTTTGGCAATTTAACTATAAATGACTCCACAATCATTTCAGCATGCCTGTGTGTGTTTTGGTGCTCAAGTCTCTATTTGATACTGGCCCTGTTTTTTCATTGTCGGATGTGCCGTATTTGTAATTAGTATCAGCTCCACATGGTGTTTGGACAAAGCCAGAATCATTTATGCAATTCAGTCTTGTGAAATTCAAAGCAAGAGACAGTATGAAGTTGCAGAAGTGATTACCACCCTGAACTGGGCACCGGTGAGCCCACATCTGAATGCTGTGTCCAGTCTGGGGCCCCCCAGTGCAAGATAGACATGGATATACTGGAGTGAGTTTAGCAAAAGCCACCAAGGGGGTCAGGGGCTGGAGCACCTCATGTAGAAAAAGAGGCTGAAGAAGCTGGTTTTGTTCCGCCTGATGAAGAGTGGGATCAGGGAGTCATATCGCTGTCTAAGGCTACCTGACAGGTAGCTGGATAAATGGAAATTCTGATGGGGTGGGGTCAGGGGGGGTGCCAAAAAAAACCCAACACAGTGACTGTGATCAAATATTGGAAATGTTGTCAAGAGAAGCAAGAGAAACTCCATCTTTGGAGATCTTCAAAACTCAACAAGACCTAGAGCAACCTGCTCTAACTTCAAAGCTGGCCCTACTTTAAGCAGGGGGGTTGAACCAGAGACCTCCAGAGGTCCCTTCCCATCTGCATTGCTCTGTGTTTCACTATCACTTCTTTAATCTCAGGTTTAACCTTTCAGGATGATGGGATGTTTACCTACTCCATCACAAATTCACTGATCATACTGACTTCTGAGCTATCGGGTACTACAACTATGGGACTGCGATCAGAGCACAAATGAAGCGAGTCAACCTTGAAAAAGAATGCTCCCTTCATTTCCAGAGACCATTTTTACTAAAATCAAGAATGCACTCAACGGCAGTCTATTGGTCTTACCAGTCTGATCAGCTGTCTGTCCAGCCACCGCAGAACATCAGGTCCCTCCTCAGATTCAGCTCTGTACACTCCCAGTCGTGCCATCAGCACAGCAGCTGCTTCCTGGTCAAACGCAGCTTCTATATGCTGGAGCTGACTCTGTGCATCTGCCCAGCTACAGGGTGAGTAAAGGGTTAGAGCTGCATGCATTTGCCTTCAGCAAAACACAGACCTCCAGGTTCACCCTGCCTGTGCCAAATACTCCGTGGCCAATGCATGCAACAAAAAGCTAGAAAAATGCCAGCACATACTGTGGCTTAAGTTTCTGCCATTCTGCCAAAGAACTGGCATGAGATACTCACTTTCTGGCTATGGTGGTGACACGAATGCGTTTCTGCGTACTGGAGTGTTGATACTGAGTGACAAATTGCACTGCCCCTCTGCCTCCCTGAGGTATCGGTGCGTTGTGCTGCAAATGAAACAAGTTAAGCCTTCAAAACAGCCTGGCTTTTCCATTACTCTCTACACTACAAAGTTTGAACTCCAGGGCATCGTTTGAGCAATCACAGAATAAGTACAAGCTTGAGATAGACCAGACAAGAGAGACACGTCTGTTAGTGTTGTATTTTCCAGCAGCCCTCAAAGTCAAGTGGTGCTGGGCCCATTTAATATTGGGCATGACACTTCCTCAGCTTGTCCCTCAAAGGATGGCAGCAACTTACAGTCTCTATAGCAATGAACATAAGAATGGCAGGATGAGGTCTGAGCAAAGGTCCTGCAAGTCCACCATCCTATCCCCCACAGTAACAAGCCCACACAGCAGAGAAGACGAAGACGCATACACACGGAATTGAATTCCTTTGGGGTAGTCTTCCTAGCTTCTAGCTGCCACATGCTCAGAAACTTCCCCATCCAAAAGCTACTTCTGAGCCATCAAGTTATGACAACTTGGAGGACCAATTCTCCAAGAATTTGAAGGTATTTATACTTTTATTCTCCACAGTACCTACTGGCAAAAAGACAAGTTCTTCTCTGTTAAACTATAGGAAGAAGACAAGGAAAGAATGCAGCTTTTGTACAGAACAAAAATCTTAGGCAATTTATGCAAATGACAACAACCTCTGAGACTATTCCTTTGGCACAAAGTACTTGGTTGCTTTGCAGCCATCCCTCTGCAACACACAGGATGCCACTGCATTTTCTGGCCTTGTTACAAACAAATAGTTTGGTGTGTAAAAAAGAAAATCAAAAAAAAAGAGAAGCCAGGACTTACCTGATTTACCACTTCAAAGTAAATGGCGAGAGTTGTGCTGGGATCCAGACTACAAATCTTCCATTGAGATGTTCCTCCAATTCCAAGCTCCTGCACAGAATCGAAAAGAAAGCAGCATTTTTGTCTCTAGCAGCAGGTAAGGCAATCTTATGTTAAATTCTGATCAGAAGTACAAGTTACGGCAGGCCTTCTAGATTTCTTATCTTGTGGGTGTGAATGAAGTTACTGAAGGCCATACAGTTAAAAGAAAGCCTTATAGGGCAATAATTAAATTTGTAAAGATTCTCTTTTCCTAGGCATGTTTCCAAATTGTTCTTCTCCTTGAAAACTCTGACGTTCCAACTGAGCTGTAGGTGTAGACAGAAACTTTGCACTGTTCATTTACTTTTTTATTACAGACTTCTCCATGTCAGAAACTTACGTTTTCAGAAACACATGGCCCTTTAGCATTCAGGGATACACACGGTCCAATAGCTCCTGCAATTTTCAGCTCCCTAGAGGTCTAGAACAAAGCAAAAAAGTTGTTCGTTGGGTTTTTTTTAATCAAATCAGTCAAATAGAATACACACACACTAAATCAGTTGCTCAGCTTTGATCAGATGATGTGTAAATATGGCTGTCAGGGAAAGCATCTCTGAGCACTTTCCCAGATCACCTACTGTTACAGTTACTGAATGTAAGAGAATCTACATAGTGACATTTTAATAATGAAGACATATGTATAGCGACCACAAGACAGCATGAAGTGTTCCTTGCTGTGCAAGGAGAAGCTGAGCTCAGCTGCCTTTTTTTAAAAAACAACCAACCAGACACAAACTTAATAAGCTTCCAAACAAAAATCCCTCCTGCTTACTCAAGTACGGTGCTTCTCCCGAAACAGGCACTATGGCTGACCTCAAACACATAGAATTTTCTACACCGCAGATACTTAAATAGACTTGAGTGAACAGCACTTGTATTTCCCAGTTAACGTCATCCAATGAAACTCATCTCTCACCTTCACATCCAAACTCGCACCAAAAGCCATGCGAAATTCCCCGTTGAACCCTTTGTTAAATACCCGTTGGAAGGTCTGCTTGAAGAGAGAAGTGTTGAAGGAGTCTCCCATCACCATGTGTCCTCTGGGAAAGAAAAAATGATACACAAGGGAACTGAAGCAACTGGGAACTAGAAGTAAAGCACAAAGGATGCATCCCTCCAGCTCTCATGCATGCAAACACAGGCAGAAACTGTTTCAATGCATGCCTTTGCATAGGTAGGGTCAGCCAACACAGATTCCTGTATGCCTCCTCCAAAGCCAGACAAGTTAATGCTCCATCTTTGCCAGCTTGCTTTCTCAACTGTATTCCCTTGTCATCCCTTTAGCTGCCTTAAAAATGCTCATGTTGCACCAGTTAGAAATATCTCAACTCACGAAAGAGCTTTACTCAGCCTGCTTTCCCTGAGCAGGGCTGGAACCACCCACACTACAGACAGGATGGCTGCACCACTGCAGCACAAGGATGGGCGTGTGGGTCTGTGCTGTGCCTCCCTTAAGGGCCTTGGTAAACCCAGGCCTGATCAGACGGAGCTTCGTAATGCAACCAAAGGGTCAGACAAGCTCTCTTCTGCTTACAGAGCATTACATGACTATTTACAAATACCTTGCATTTGCTCAAATCATCCTTTGACTCTCTAGACATAGCAGATTTTAAATGGACAATAAGACATGCTAAGTCCCCAAAAAGCCCAGTTTAACACACAGCCTTCCCCACAGAATCTCACCCTTTTGCCCCGACAGCAAATTTAACTGTTTTCTGAATCGTTCTCCCCCTTCAAAAAGAAATACAGGTGCCAACTTTGTGCTCTCCTGCTATGAACATACCCGGTGAGGTTTGCACAACACTTCATCTCCAGCAGTCCAGTCTGATCCAGGGCACAGGCATAGATGTCAATGCAATGCCCGTTGGCTGCAGTGCGATTAGCCAGGGTCTCGTAGTGCTGGGGAGAACATACACGTTGTTTAGGATGCCACAATGGGCAATTTTTCTACTGTTCTCCAGCCAAGGCCAACGTGGCACAAGACACAAATGAAGCAATTACCAATGCTGTGGTAACTAAACACCTGTTTGCTCTTACTGCTCTGCTGGAGCATGCTTCTTCCTCCTAGGATGTTTGCACTTGGATGAGCTTGAGTTGCATGTCACAAATACAGAGAGCACATGAATTGCATGGGATCTTTGCCTACGATAACTTAGTGGAAACAGACAGGTTTCCAGGTGATAGTTCAGAGGACAGGTGTCATACTGCTCTCTCTAAGCTGACAGGCACACTTCATGTCTGACATTTTTATCATTTTAACTGTTGTTTCATAAGTCAAGAAGTCAAAGGAGGCTTTCTGGAAGTGACCAATTCCTGGAAGACAGGTTTTCTCCTCCCTAGAAGGAGATACAATGATGCTGATGAACAAACTCTCCACTCACCATCAACTAAAAAACAACACCGAAATACTTCTTTCTCTGAGAAGGCACAAGATCGTGCTGGAGAAGTAACTAGGAGGAAGTTTTTCTACCCTTCCCTTGACCATTCTCACAATTTAATGTCCACAAAAGGCTCAGGCACTTCAAGGACAACCATGAAAATATCTGGACATGCTGTTCCCACATCGAGAGAATGGAATATGATGTTCCCTCAGGAAGGACACTGGGAAGCTGTCAACATAGCAGTGTATGTAGGTTTGTGTTATGTCCTTTCGCCCCATTTAGTGTTCTGACACAATATTCAGTGCCCAGCAGGCACTAGCACCTACTTTGGTGGCCTTCTTCATGAACCTTGCATTGTCCTTCTCAATGTCATGCCAAGAACGGATGGGTGTTTTCAGTTCATCTCCTACTACCATGCCCGGTCCTTGTGTTGGTGGCCCACCTGTAAACAGCATTATTCTGGCCCCTGTGTTTGGAAAAGTGCCCTAAAATAAAAATAAAGACTTGTATCAGAGTTTTTTTTTGGGGAAGAGGATAAAAAAGGTACACTGAACGGCAACAATGCTTTCTTTAGAGAAGCATCTGCATGTGCTTCTGCAATGTCATTACGGACCTGTCTCTGCTAAAGGCCACCTTGATAAATAACAACACACCTCCTGACAGTCACAGCACTCTCAAGTTTAGACTCAAGCTACGTCAAGCTTCATGTCTTCCTAACAGGAAGCAGGCAGTTTCTGTTCTTTCTATTTGCATCTTAGATGACCCTCAGATAAACCCAGTGCATCACATCACCTCCACATGGCGATACACACAAGAACCAGACACCTTTAAACACCTGCATATTTCACCACTTAGATGTAAACTCCCAGCCCACTCTACACCAGCTGGTGCTAATACACATCAAATGTCAGTAGTGACAAATTGCACCTCTGCAGCTCAGCATAACTGGGCCACAGACCAAGCTGGACTGACACCTGCACACATCTCCGCAAAGACTGCCAGGTGTTTACTTTGACCAGCTCATCTGAAACAGCAGCACTAAGAATACCTCCAATAAGCCAACAGCAATCGAAAGAGCTACTCCAGTGGAACGTTTTTCTTTCCCTGAGTCACTGGCCAGGGGTCCCTCTGCAGTTCTCCAAGCAGATCTGTTAAATTCATGTCAATCTTATGTACTGGCTGCAGAAACCTGCAAAAATTCAAATAAAATGTTTTCCTGCTTATAAGTTTAGAGAAGAAAGAAAGTGCCTCTTTGTTCCTGGCACACAAATTGCACCGAGATAGTTATCAGAAATAAAAAGTCACATGGCACGTTCCCTTCTTACGTCCAAACTTCCCAAGGTAACAGGCCTGTCCAAAATTAAAAATTTGATCAAAGCAAGATATCAGGAACTGACAAGAAGGCAAAGTCACATAAAGCATAGGAAAGAACTTCAACAGTGATTTAGTCTACCAAAACACACAAGAGCTGCCACTGAAAAAAAGGAGCTGAGAAAAAGAAAACTCTTCAACAAAGGCAAATACAGCTTTACTGTTCAGGGGTCACTGCTTGCCTGTCAATCATTTTTTGGACTTGCTGGGTCAGGAGTAGGAGGTAGTATGTAGGATTGTTATGCGTAGACCATGCCCACCATTGGCTGGTCAACCAAAAAGACAGGCCTTTGCTCCAAACGACACCTGAGCAATGTGCTTTCCAAAGACAGCTACTCCATATTTTTCAAGTAGAAATCTAGCCTGAATGGCAACCACGTTCTTGCAACTGCAAAACCAAGAGACTATAGAAGTCTATGATATTCCCTGCAGCTCTAGTAAATCCCATCCATATGCATCACTGATGTAGGGAAGTAACTGTGACAGGACAACACCATTTAAATCTTCTTACAAAGACTCCTCTCGGGAAACCCAGGTTTAGAAGCGTGACCCCAAAGGGACATAAAACACCTGCCCTGCTGTGCAGCTTACCTGCTTGAAATAACAGGTTGCTCTGGAGTCTGAAGGGGTCTTCCCTGTTGAATGGGGAGAGCTGGCCTTGAAAGCCCAAGCATATCCTACAGAATAGTAAAGAGGATGCAGAAGAGATGTACTATTCGAACACTAAACATATAATTTGCTATCAAGCAATATACTCTGAGGCCCGCAATACTGTAGCATTAAATACATTAAAATCTTGAAATTATTAATCTTTGCACTCCCGTTAGGAACGGATCAATGGGTCCACTATGCAAGATACACAAACTCTATCTTGGACAAGCTTCCGAGGAATTTAGAAAGGCAGAAGGACAGGACATGTATTGTGAGGGAAACAGGCTAACAGTTGAGAGCAGTGAACCCTCCCTCCTCCCCAAGACCCCAGCACTTGAAAGACCAGCAGTGGTGTCAACAGAGCTAACAGGAACAAGCCACTGGCGTAAGAGATGGCGGAACATACCTGTATTTGCTTAGCTGTCAGGTCCTTTGTGCCCCTAAACACGTAGCTCTTGGAAATCCCTTCACAGCTCAGCTCATGAACCTGGACCATTCTGCCAAAAGTGATAAGCCCTACCAGAGCATCAGCAGGCAGCAGACTTAGGGACATCTGGAGGGACTCCTTCAGTGCCTGCAAGTCCTCCTCTTCCAAGCACATGTCAACAACATACAGGAAAATCAATGGCGTCTGCGGACCTCGCTAATGTGGAAAGAGATGGATTTACTAGGCATGTGCATATGCCAGGTGACACTTCATAATGCCTCCCACCAAGGAACAAAATAAGCCCCACCGTAAGCACCTTGCAGTAATGTTATTTACTTGCATTATCTTAAGTAAATCTAATACACATAATCTGTCACAAACAAGACAATTCTGGGGGCTTCAAACTTGCCTATGATTCATTTACCTGCACTATATATTCAATTGTTGAAAACTGAGGCATAAGCTCTGCTGGTTGATTGACTTCAGATATGCCTGCATATGCTGGAGGGAACTGAAAAAGAGAACAAAAAATTAGGACAAGGAAGTTGCAGGACAGAAATGTAGGGCCCTCCTCTGCAGTACAGAGGCTGCCCTCCTCATGATGTGGTTATCCAACTCTTTATTTACTGCCACTGCACCAACCTGATTCACTAATGACAAGGGACTCATACTGCTGTTTTCCTAAGCACAGACGACAAGTAGCCAGGAGCATGGACAGCTGCTCAATCCAGTGTAAACAAAAGGTAGGACTAAACTAGCCACTATGCATTAGCTGAAACTCTTTTAGCCACGTGACAGTTTCTGATGGCAAAAGTCTACTCAAATCTAATGAATTTCATACTCAGCAAGAACAGTAAATGTCAAGTGCAAAAAACACACTGGAAACACATGGGGCAAAATAGCATTTTGATGTCCTTCCTATGCCCTGCATGCTGGTAAAATCACTGGCAAAGCTGAACTGAAAATGGACAAGAAGTCAGGTAAAACAGAGGCATTAACGAGTACTGTGGCTTGGGTTCAGCCAGAGAAAAAGGGCACGAGAAGGAATCTAGAAAAGTAGAATTTGTGCTTAACATCCTCTGCCAGGGGAGGCCATCAATAAGATGCTCACTGAAAAAAGTGGAAGATGGAAGGGCTTTTTCCAACTCACCTGATTTCTCTGAAAACAAAAGTTACAAGCCCAGAGCTTGGCCCGATAGTCAACTTGGCTGCAAGAAAAAGATGAGGCATCAGTATAACTATAGGAGCAATTCTACAGCGCAGCTTCACCATTATCCATGCTGGTTCACAGCACTGAGGAAGAAACACAGTATCAGAGACTCCAACTTGAACAAGAGTTTTAGGGATTCAGAATCTTGTTCTATTGCCAGAAAGTCTATTAGCTCATCCAGCCCTGCCACTTCCAGGCTTGTCAGCATGACGGACCACTGACAGCTCTCCAGAGCTGCCTTTGGCAGACAAAGACTCGGGTCTAATCATTCTTTCACTACACTTGGGCTTATCTCAGTCTCTTATTGTTTGCACAGCTGTAGCACACAAGTACTCCAGTCACAGAGCAGCAGGAGCCATTTACCCAGATCCTGCGCAAACACTGAATAGGCTGTTCCCTGTCCCAAAGAGTTTACTCTCCTCAGCCCACTATGACATCCTGTAATGGCTGGTGCAGTAAAATCTGCCCATATTCTTATTTCATGGGCTTGATCTCAGTTTACTTCCTCTTATTGGCCTTCCTTGCTTTTTCTCAGCCCAATACGACGTTCCAACTATGTTTGATCATCACATGATTTTGGGACTGAGATTGTTCCTCCTAAATTCTCAGCAAAACTCATACTGGAACTGACCTACAAGAAGCAGGATGTGTAGGAAACAGGAAACCAAGTGAACATCACAGCCCAGAGGACGGTATCAGTACAACCGGCATCCTTGTTTATTTTAAGTTTCATCATTCACCACAAAATTCTCCAGGCTGGCAAAAGGATTGGCCATTTCCATATCATCTTTGCTTTAATAGCGTCCTCAATGGCACTCCTCTCTCCTCTGGTTCTGGCAGCTCTAGTAACTGCCTGGCATTCACTGTGTCTCACCAGGCACACATGGATTTTAACAAACCCACTACATCTAAATGAAAGAGGCTGCCAGGCACTGCTCAGGGAAAAAGGGAAGAAAGTAGTGAAGTTCAGATAAAAACTGGGTACTATCCAGCCTTTCTTAACATCTCCAGCCAAGAAATTCATACCAGAGTGGGTTGAGCACCGCTTTGCAAGTCGGCCTGCTACAAAGCACTGGTTCATACTGCACCGGCGGCAGGTCAAGACGCTCCTTCAGTGGGGTCAGAAGACAAGCCAGGGGAACAACCATCCTTGTGGCCTCCAGCCTGCTGGAGGGCCATACGTTCCAGCTGAAACGCACTCCATCACGCTCCTCATTTTGCTGGATGAACTCCAGGTATGTCGCCATGGCACTGCAGAAGCTCTGAAAGGACATAAGCAACACAACAAACAGGCAGGGATAGTCTGTTTCAACAACAGTCCTGCAAAGGAGGTCAGTAAATCAACTACAGCAGGCACAAGATGTTGCAGGACAAAGCCAATACATTACAATGAGTTAATCCCATTATCAAATGAACCACGTGACTACATCAATCTCTTCTGTCCAGTGCTCTCATCAACATTCCAGACAATTAAATCACCACCAAATCCAAACAAGAAAATCTGACACTCAAAGCCAGAAGGCAATTTTTATTTTCTTGTGATCCACATTTAATATCCCAATACCCACTCAGCCTCATGCTGGCCTCAAGGCAATCCTGACTGCTTTGGGTCAGTACAGAAAAACAGGTCAGGTTTGCAACACATCCTGAAGCCTTTGGCTAAAACCTTGGAGGGAGAAAAGGAGGCCAAGTCTGAGAACAAAACACTCATCACAAACGTCACCTGGTTGCCAGCATGACCTGCTTACAGATGGAAAGGAGCACATAACAAAAAGGTCAGAAAAGGTCTTTGGTGATTTTAGACAGCCTCTGTGCATGGTACCACGTCCCACTCCCAGTAAGAGAGGAATTTAGAGTCCAGCAGACCTCAGAAAGACATATTATTCAAAGAGGGCTATCCTCAACACACCAGAGAAGTCACTCTCTGTATTGCCTTACTAAACTCTTCAGAGTAAGATGCAAACAAGAGCTCCCAGGCCATCATTATCTTCGATGTCTCTGAGAAAAGGAAGAACAAGCTTACTGAAAAAGTTACTCATTGAGTCCAGCCCACAAACACCACTGGCAGCAACTCACAGAGCAGCACCACAACCCACTCCAGCCAAGAAAACTCAGAGGTTCACCTGCGGCTGAAGATGCTCCAGGATTACCTTACTCTTGGTCCTTGCTGCAAGTGGGAGATTCAGCAGGGCCATAAGCATGAGAAATCAGGAGCATCACCTTCCCCAAAGGAGAAGTTTTGACATAACATTTTCCCACAGACCTCCAAACTCATCAAGGTTTTCTTTGTCCTTGCTACTAAGGATGTAAATCAAGCTCACAGGGGATGGCCCTGTATTTCCACCCCCACCTCTGGATGGTCAAACAGAAGGGTTCAGCAACACATCCCCACCACAAATGGGTCTGTCAGGGTTAAAGTCAGAGCTGAGCCTCCCTGCAAAAGATCCCGCACATCAGAACAGCAAGACAGACACCTGACATCTCAGGTATGCAGTGCAACCAAAGCGTAAATTCCGTGTTCCTCCAACTGCAGCCCAGCACCACACCCCTGCCCCAGGCCATGCCCCGATTGCCTGGCTGGGTTAGGCATGGGCTGTGGCCCTGCTTTGGGGTCAGGACGGCAGGACAGGAGGCACCCCCACCCCAATGAGGGCTGTGCAGGGCCAGTTTAGAGCCAGGTGCCTGACAGATCTGCCAGTCCCCCACCAGTGCAGAGCCCTCTGGCCTCAGTCCCACAGTGACCTCCAGGGACCGTCCCGGTAGTGGGGAGGTCCCAAATCCCCTGTCCAGGAGAGGACAGACCCTTCCAAAGCCTAAGCAGATGAGCGATGGTAGTATTCCAGTCTCCATATGGGATCTGATATAGGGCACACTGCTGACCCCGACTCCTTCCAGCAAAGCTATAGGCAGTGCTGCTGCTTCCTAGCAGTGCTATAGGGAACGCCACAGATCACTCAGCTGTTTGCTCACCACAGCTATAGGGGATACCACAGATCCCCAGCCCTTCACCAGGAAGCGTAGAGAACACCACAGATCCCTAGCGAAGCCATAGGGGCCACCTCTGACCGCTATGTCGCTGACTCCCAGCACTGCCATGGGGTAAAGCACCGACCCCCTGCATAGCCGCAGGGGACACGGCTGACCCCAGCTCTGCCCTGTGGGACACCATCAGGCCCCAGCACCCTCAGCACCGCCTGGGGGAGCACTGCCGGTTCCCGGCCCAGGCAAAGCTACAGGCGACACGGCTGAACCCCCGTGCTGCTCCGTGGGACACTGCTGATGCCCATGCAAGCTCTGCTGTAGGGGACACCATCTGCCCTCCCCAGCACCCCTTTAGGGGTCACCACTGACCCCCCAGATCCTCCCACAGGGACCACCACAGACCCCCCCCCCGGTCTCCCTCACAGGGGACACCACAGAACCCCCACAATCCCACTCACAGGGGACACCACCGACCCCCCAGGCCCCTCTCACAGGGGACGCCACTGACCTCCCCGAACCCCCACTATAGGGGACTCCACCGACCCCCCCAACCCTCCCTCACAGGGGACGCCACTGACCCCTCCCCAGCCCCCAATATAGGGGACGCCACCGACACCCCTCCAGCCCCCCTTCACGGTGGACACCACTACCGTCCCAGCTCTCCCTCACAGGGGACGCCACGGGCCCCCCCATCCCCTCAGCCTCCC